GGTGTTCACTAACTTCATACCAACCTCGCTCTGACTAGCAGGTGAGTATGATCTTTGGTCCTCCAACCTGAGGGTCTAGCAGATGGCTATGTCCCTTGTCCATCCCGAAGTGCTAGTCTAAGACACTAGAAGAGCCCAGACCCCTAAAGTGACTGTAGAGAAAGCACTAGATTTGACGGGAACGCCAGCTCTCTTTCTGCACAGGCCCCCTTCCTTTTCCAATTAGTGCTGGGCCACTCAACCTCTCAATTTGCCACTCAACCTATTCCAAAACAAAGTGTGTCCTACACAGTCACAGGGCGGGATAAACGAGAGCAGACCTTTCAGACACCAAGAGGCTTTTGTCATGGATGATCACAAGGAAAGAGCTACCCTTTGCTCCAGCTCTCCTCCTTTGCCCTGTGCTGCCAACTTCCATCTTCGTCAGTGCCTATTCCCTTCCTCCGCTCCTACCAGCCACCTCCAGCACAGATTATAAAATATAACAGAAAATCAAGAAGTGAAGGCACTCCTCCCCTCCCTCCCCCAGTCCTTGCATTTAACCTTCAAATGGAAAATTCTTGGATGAGGGAGGAAATTTTTCAGACCAGGAATCAAGAAGGGCCAGGACTATTATTTGGCCAGCCCACCCTCCCGGCAAGCTTGCACACCTCACACTGACCCTCACAGCCAAAAAGGAAAGGCAGGCCACACCAGAAGTTCCAGCTCTGTGTGGCATCTGGAGAGATTTCAGAACCTTACAAAACTGAAAATATCAAGTGGCTCTCAGTAGCGAGGTAACCTTTCAGCTGAAAACCCCAATGTCCTCTTGTCTGGACAAGAGGCCAAATGTTTATAAAATATTCTCTTCAGATTCAAACGTATGATTTCCTCACCTGCTAAACCCACTAAACTTAGAATGGAAAAATTAAGACAAAATCCCATGAATTGTTCCAACCTCTATGGCTTCCTGTTGTCAATCATCAAACCACCTGTCAAAAGCCTCCGGTCTTCAGGCAGGCGGTCCAAGCTGCCCAGCCAGCAACGGTGACCCAGCCGGGTTCCCATTACACCCGGAGAAAGAGGCTTATAAAGCAGAAGTGACTGAGCCGATGTTATTTACAGTTTTATCCCGGACAGCACCACCTAAATCACAAGCCAAGCTCAAGAAGAATGCCACCGCGCTCCCTCAAATCAGCTCTCCTCCTGCTTTCCGGCCAAAGGTGGCCCTCTTCCATTCCAGAAAATACCCAACCTAAAAAACCTGGCGTTCTCTCTGCTCCCTTTACACTTGATTCACACCAGAAATGCTGAATCATGACTCCGAAGCACGAAAAGAAAACTATTTCGACTGGACGCGGGTACCCTAGGGGATCTTGGCTTGTGCATCCCATCCAGAGCCCTCGAGGCAGGCGGGAGACGCAGAGCGCAGCGCGCTCACAGGACCAGGAGACCCTCGGTGGGTTCCTATTCCTGCCTAAACCACACTCCTGCACGGTCCCCTCCAACGCGACCCCAATAGAACGGTGGACTCCCCCTCTGCACAGCTGCCCGATAGCCCCAAGAAATGTCCGCGCGGAATCGCCGCCGCCGTCGCCCTTCGAGCTCGTGGGCTCGGGCTGCTGTCACTTGGTCACTACCGGGCAGGTTTGCCTGCCACCGCCCGACCCCGGAGCAGGAAGCAGCCGCCAGGGGCCAGACTCCGGAGAAACACGACCCCCACGCCCCAACCCGCGCCCCCGCGGAACCCCGGGAGCCTAGGATGGGGACGTGGAGGGCTAGGGCGGCCGGCAGAGAGACGCTCCCCGCTCAACCCGTCCCGCCAGGGTGCCCGCAAGGGAGGACTCACTGGAAGGTGAGCACGCAGAGTGGCCGGTAGGACTTGTGGCTGGCGCGCTCCGCCATGCCCTTGCCCCAGAAGTCGTTGGAGAAGACACCCCCGCGGAGCGGCGCTCCCGGCCGCACGTCGGGGTTGTTCACGATGGCCCACACGTCGTCGTGCACGAACTCTCCCTGCAGGGAACGGCCGAACACCAGGCAGCTCGCCCCGGCCAACAGCGCCGCGGCCCCGGCCGGCGCCA